GTGAATTTCTCTTCTTTTAGTTTCTGTACATCTTATTCCATGCTAAATACACTTGATACTACTTCTCTTTGAAGAACATACTCTTTGATTTCGTCAAAATTTGGACAAGATTTTGTTAACGGAGTTGTCCTGCTTGAATGGATTTTTTTTTACCAGTACTGTATTTGGTATAATGACAAGGGGAAAGAAATCTCTCACAAGAAGTTTTCTTTAAATTAAGAAATCTGCAATTTCACAGCAATTCACTCGCTGAAATTGATTTCTCCTTCTGATTCTAACAATTATAATGATTATTGCGCAAGACAATTTCGAAATTTATTGCTTCTTGGAAACAAATCATAAGCTCAAATCTATTTATTTCATTGTACAGTTTTAGTCGTGCAAAAAATTGTGCATTAGGAAATCATCAATAGTTTCAACAGTTTCCGTAAAGCTAAATCTGTCTTGTGTATGGTGAATTTCGTGACAAAATTGGCATGGTTCCAGTTACTAATATCATTTATTACAGTGATATGTTGCAGAACTTAAACAAAACATTCACAGTGGTCTGATTGAAATTTGAGTCTAAATACTTTATAGGTAGAATAAATGGCAATTGCGCTTATAACTGCCTTAATTACTGGTACCTGAAAATAAAATTGATTGATTGATTGTGTTTGTGTTTTGAACTGGTATCCATTATAAATAAATTTTCCTGACAAAACAAAAACTGATTGAAATACAATAATGATGCAAACTAAATTTCATCTTTTCATGAGTTAAGCTTATATTCTTTTTTCTCAAGAAAATTTTGATTTTGCTGATAAAAAACAAATCTGTGACTGCTGTAAAATCAACTGGCCATTTCATGTTTAATTCTTACAAGGCTTTCTATGTATTGAAACTGGAATTAATTTCAAGTATTAAATTTTTTTTCTCAATTTCAAGAATATTGATTATGTGTCTCAAGAAAAGTCTTATCCATGTAATGTTCTCTTTAAAAGTTTATTGAAAATGGCATTAATCAAAAATATTGAAAATCAAATTCTCAATTTGAAGAAGAAAAGAAACATCAGTTTTAATTTCTAAATACTGTCTTGTAAACTTATTGAAATTTCCATTAATCTAAAATATCAAAAATTTTCATTAAATTCAAAAATGAAAGTCCTTGAATTATGAAGTGATATGAAATGGGTTTTTAAATGGCCATTAACAGATTATATTTGACATTGAAAATTAATCTGGCAGTTTGATTTATCAGTCATGAAATGACAGCCATTATTAATATTTATAACACTCATATAACATGACCTTCTAAAGGTCATAGGTTAAAGGTTGTGATAATCATTCCAATCACACCATAGAACTTGAGTCGTTGAACTCACGCCAAGTGTTTCACTGACAGCAAGAGCTGATAACTTACACAGCTAAATATTCATCAAAACTTATCTATAAATATATTCAGTTAACTTATTGGATGATCAAAATAAATTCAAAAATTTGATTGACCAATCAGATGACTGGAAGATTGTAATTTAATTATAAGAAAATGGCCCCTGATCAAATGTAACTAATTAAGTTAACGCTTTTCTATTTTAACGGTTGATTTTGATGTGTTAGCACCATCATAGGATGACAACTTTCGAGGCAGGCTAGTGGACTAAAATTACACAGAACATGATTTAAAGAAGAATCTTTTTAGATCACTAATCTGCAAGCATACTAAGCTGCATAAAAAACCCAAAATGAAACATTAAGATGCATTTTAATCAACTTGGAAAAAATAGATTTTTAAACATTGCTTCCAGCTTGTCTGTAAAAAAAATATAATCTTCTCTGTTGTATTGTGTTATATGTTATGTAATAGTTATAATTAATATAATAACTGTATATTAGATATCAGAGTAGTGATAAATATAAACCTACGCCAAGCTAGCTAACATAATAACAGATACTATAGACACGATTTTAATATCAATTAGACGCTAATAAGAAATCCTTACATCACGATGAAAACCTTCACAGAAACATGTTGTCATAATAATGTTATCTTACCATATTAGATATGAAATTAAAGTTTAACTTGCAACATTACTAGCCAACACTACCTTTAATATGATTAGGTGATAGGGGTTGGGGGGTAAAAGCCGTAAGATTTTAGCAACATTTAGAAGCCCAGAGCACATAAAACAAAAAGAAGGGAATATATTATGGTATAACACACTTGTTTAATAACAAAATATTATTATATGTTTCAACACAATTTATACCTAATGATGTCGCATTTACAAGTGTTAATGTCATATACTTAAAGGGAAAGGTGTGCCATTTTTTGGGGGGGAGGGAAGGGGTTGATTTGAGTTTTGAAAATATGTAAATAGTCTTCAGAAGTCCTAGAAATGTATGAAAATGGTATTATTCCTCAAAAAAAACCATCTGAAATTAGGAATTTTACTCACTATTTCTATAAATGTTTTTTCTATATCAGACTATCTTAAAATGACGAGTCGTCATTTTAACATTCAAACGCGGATAATTCTGGACAAACATGGATTTGAAAGCTCAAATTTAGACGATGAGCTGTGAACACAACGACTGATTGGCTTAGCTACAAAAAATTCCCATTTCTGAGATTAAAGTATGATTGGTCAAAAAAAATGGCACATATCCCTTTAAAGGTACATTTCTTGGAGTAAAGTGTTTATATATATTTCATTTACAAAGGAAATGGGTGACACCCCACGTTTCTGCACCAAATTGATTATTTCAAGTTTTATAATCAGTCATGCATTTTATTACAAAAATATATGAAAAATCAGTTACCAGTATTTGAAAGAGTACATCACGATAATGTTCAACAAAATGTTATGAGCAATATTTTTTATTGTCTCAAATTCTATTAGCAAGACGATAAAGATCAATTCATTTAGGGAAGACTAGATTGATATCTAGAGCTAAATTTCAGTATTAAAAGGATTGTAAAGAGGTTTTTTAAGTTCATATGTGTATACTGTATCAGGGACACTGATATCATCAATTTCCACTATGATTAATTTCCAATCAGATGTCTTTGGTTCCTGCAATTCTACTAAAACTAATTACCGTATTTGATGAAGTCACAAAGATACGCTTCATTACACTATAATCCCTTCATGATTAGTTACATCATAAAACACCTAATTTTAGTGGAATTGCTAGAACCACAGATGTCTGATTGAAAATTGGAATTGTGCAAGTTGATGCAGCAGTGTCCCTGCTACAAAAGAAATTTAGAAAGCCTCTTTACAACCCCTTTTATTTTTCAGACAGTTGATAATAAGCTTTATTACTTAGAAAATAACATTTCTCCACATGCCCTCAAGAATAAATATACCAAAAACTTTTTTGACAAAATCCCTCCACGTTTTCTGATCCCATACAAGTCTTGTCAATTATTTTCTTTAAAAACATCTGTCTCACACGCAGCCATTTTGTCAACAAAGCCTGTTCAATCCCATACATCAAATTCAATGAAGTTTTTCCACCTCAGAGAGCAGATTAGTATAAACCAGTAGAGGTCGTGACCTGGTGTCTTACCCCAGTCATAATGATATGGTAAGGAAGAGACCGAATTCTCACATTACACCATAGAGTCATTTTCCTTTTGTACAGGTATGGGGTAATTGATGACAATACGACAGGTGCAAAATTTTGTCAAGTTCAGCAATTCAGGACTATCTATCAAACAGATATAACTTTTAAAAAAAACTTAAATAAAAAAAGTTTTAACTAGCTGGCAAGCAACAGTAAATCAATTCTATGTGCCAATATATAATATTTGAAAGATGTTGACTGAACTTTACATTACTCAACATAAAACATGTATTGAAATTAGATTTCATTCACGTATTTGTTCGTTTATAGAGTTTTTAACATTTTATTACTACTTATGGAAACTTAAATCAAGTTTTCAATAAACTATCAAGCCAGTTTTTTTTTTTCTAAACAGTAAGGTAATAAGGTTTTATCAGAGAAAATATCTTATAGAAGCACTGGCCTAGGTCACAAGTAGGGATTGTGGATTTCAGCATTAGAATATAATATGTGCATCAATTTGATAGAAAATAACCTACTTCTGGAGAGATTAACAAGATAAACGAATATTTCAGAAATGTAAAGCCATTGTTTTAGGGAGTTAATGAAAGTGGATTTAATCTACCATACACAGTGTTTTATTGACTTAATTATGAAAAGGATTAGGGAACAGGCTAATGTAACTCCTCTCCCATCTTGCCAGTTATAAACTCTTATAATCAAAGAGAACTCCAAAAGAATATCTTAAACTCAACAAGAAATTCCCCTCTATGATGAAGGTTTATAAACAGCAACTGATTGATACCAGAACTGTTATTTCCAAGTTATTTGGTAACAATACTATTTACAGTCTGTATTGCTATTTGAATCTGGCTAAATACTTTATTGATATAAATTATTTTGCTAAAATTTAGCTTTTATTCTTGCTAGGCCATTATTTGTTATTCGCTTATCGTATGTTAGTACCGGTACTACATTTGGAATGCGGGTGTATTGAGACGAGTCTCAAAGTAAGCACTGGCATAGGTCACAGAGCTCAATTTCTTTCTTTTTGTTTTGCTCTTTACAGATCTTACTTTGATTTATTTGTACCAAATTTGATTTTCATTCCGTGAAATCCTATTCTGGTGTAGTTTCAGTCTATAGATAGATATCTTGGCAAAGATTGAGATAGCTAATAATAACCAGTCTATAACTAGAAGATATAAGATACACTGTATATAACTGTACAGTCAGACGTCTATTATGAATGAATAAGTGTACTGTAAGTGGAGGAAGAAATGATGGAATGGCTGAAAAATGAGAGATCTAATGATATAGAAACAATAATAGTTACTAAAACTAATGGAAGTAATCAATATTCAATGATCACCATAATGAAATATCAAAAATGTTGATGAAAAATAAATGAAAAAAATAATGAATTGAATAAATTCAATGCCACTTACCTGTAATATCTAGATTGTAGATAAGTTGATGGAACAGCCTTCGTCACTTGACTAGCCGATCCGAAATCAATCACTTTAACACGATACGGAAATCGTACAGGGTCCACCAACATAATATTTTCAGGTTTCAAATCAGCGTGAATTAATCCTAGATCCTTTAGTTTAAGTAAAGCTGTCAACACCTGTTGTGTGACAGGACGGATATATTTCAACGGTAATGGCTGAAACTTATTCTGTTTGAGAAAATCATATAAATTCTGTTCCAACATCTCAAACACAAGACACGCATGATTTTGATGCTGAAAATATTCGTAGGTTCGCACGAAGTTGTAATCGTCCGCATTTTCTTGACTTAACTGCTTCAATATTTGAACTTCAATTTGTCCTTGACGAGCATACGAGGGATGATTTTTCAAAATTTTAATCGCTACGATTTCATTGGTGCCTTTTTTCCAACACTTGACCACCTGACCGAATGTACCGCGTCCCAGAAATTCCAAAACTTCGTAGCTGGACGTCCATGATTGTAATGTTTCATGTTGTACTAGCTTATAGTCTCCTTCGCTACCCGACGACGATGTTTTGGAAGTCGTATTTGTCGTGGTAGCGGGCTTCGTAGCGATGGTGGTCGTATTGGCGGCACTTCGATCATCCTCGCTGTTTATCACGTGCACGTCCGTCAGCTGCATCTGTGAATCTAACACATCACTTTTACGTTTTACTCCATAGCGTGGGTAAGTGTCTTGTGGTTTGAGGGTCGAGGAAAGAAGTGGATGAGGCATGACCTCAAACGAGCTGTATTTTGAAACCTCATTAAGCTTGTAGTTAGAAGGTAAAGCTCCAGAATGTTGGTTAAATAAGGAGTCAAATACTACATGCTGTTCTCTCGAAGCTGATGTTATCGGACAGTTCTCTAGTTTGATTTTTTTATAATGTTGATAATTCAAGGATGAAGTACTGGTATAATTGTTGAGAGATGTGGACACTGCTTGCATCAGTAGTTAGAGAGGAGCTCTGAAATATATAATTAAATATTTATGAATTATTATGATTATAACATCTCAGAATCTTAGGCTTAAGTCTGAACCTGGGATAATGAGAAGAAAAACACTCATGAATTATGTGATTCTTAAAATGGTTGCGACTTTGAGTCTTTGATTTGATATTAGGGGAACTCTAAAGGTTTAGTAAACAAATTATTTCAAATTCAGTTTAGAATCATTAAGTGTGAGATATCGCAGGTCTGCCTTGCCACTTGCAGAACCAGACAGCAACTTGATTTTGCTAGCAACTAATAATATATCCAGCATTAGATATAGATAACCTAAGTGAACCCATGAATGAAAACTGTGCACTTGCCTTCAGAAGTTCAGAAGTTGTTGCTCATATTTTAATTTCATGCAAAATTGGAATTATCATCAAGAAATAAGTAGTACGAATCTCCAACTAAATAATTAGTCTCTTACAAGACCCCATGAATACAATCAATATTTCTGAAATTACTTTCAAATCTCAATCCACAACACTCTGGACAAATATAACTTTATGACAAATGTTATAAATAGCAATGCAAAATGTAATAAAATGTGACATATTTTCAGTGTATACAAGATGTTACATTGAATAATAACTATGTTTATTACATTACGAACCTTGACCTACTTTGTATACACAGGGCAATATTCTTGTCAGGTCTCTATAATTAATGGTCTACATCATCCATTACATGACAATACTGCATACTTTATGTTAAAATAATATTAAAGTGCAATTATACTATTATTATATATAAGATATTAAAAAGGGACACACCTGGGTCCGATCTACTTTCTATGTATGCACAAGGCAATATCTATGTCAGTTTTTTATAACTGATTAATGGTCTACATCATATTACCTTACAATGTGAACCATATTATTGAATAAGGTACCAAAATAACATTAGATGAGATATTAAAAAGGGACACACCTGGGTCTAAATTTGTATATAAGATTACACAGGGCAATATTCATGTCAGCTCCTCTATATAACTACTCCTCTATATCATATATTACCTCACAAATACTATATACTTTAAGTTACTATTATATAATATACCACCCAACACCAAAATTATATCAATAATAGAAATGACACTTTAAAATGACACACCTGTAGTTTGTCAAACTGTATGTAAATGTAGCAGCAGTACATCCAGATGAATGAGTTTACCCTTCATATTTTGTTAATCTCAAAATGAAATGGCTTCAAATAGTGTTTAAATAATCTATATACCTGAACTTACCAGACAATTACTAGAGGAAAATATTTCTTAACCCATAAACTGATCAGATAATCTACTTTATGATCATCTTTAAGGTAGGAGACAGTATTAGTTGCCTATTGAAAACATCAAGTCATTATCTCATACCCACTCTCTTATGATCTTCAGGGATTGTGACTGGCAAACACCTGTAGACAGACCAATCAACATCCCTCATCAAGAGACAGTGGAAACTGTTTTCTCCACTCATCAAAACATCACAGATTATACCTACTCCCTTCGGTTCTGACTGGCAAATACAGACGAATCAACATCCCAACATCCAACAGTAGGGGACTGTTTTCTTCACTCATCAAAACATAGAAGATTATCCCCACCCACTCTTGTGATCTCCAGGCATCAATCTAATCGTTGTCTCAAAGTAATGGCATTATTCCTACAAATCATCTCGTATCATGGTGTATTTCACACAACCCTCGACTAATCCTCATCAAAACAGACATCCTCAAAATAACTAACAACATCTGTGGCCTGCTTGCTTCAACAGCTTTCATTTCCCTAACATGGCTACTTGAAAGTGGGAGTATGATCTTGATATGTAAGTGACACCTATTGAACAAGTGATCTTAGAACACTGGTTCCCAACCTGGGGTGTTTTCACCCCCTGAGGGTGTCAGGGTTGTGGCCAACTGATGTAGGAGAAGAATTTATTTTGAATTGAGAGGTTAACATATGCTTAAAATGTAGATTAATCAAATTTTTGGGGGTGTGAAAGGTCCAGATGATTGCTCCAGGGGTGTGAATACTGAGAAAGGTTGGGAACCACCTCAAGACTATACAGGAAGAGCTTCTGAACCTTTTGTCTTGATTAAACATCTTAATTGTCAGCTAGGTATTTAAATAGTTACCGGTACACAATCACCAACTATAGTACTATACGTCTGTGAAAGTTGCCTAGAAACTAATCATAGTTAAGGGGTGTCATGTATGAGACTGGCAAATTTAAAAGGATTGTAAGAAGAGTGCAAAATCTGTGCTATTTGTGTCTCAAAACACAATAAGTTTCTTTAGAAAACCTCTTTACAACTATCCCTTTATCAGCCTTCATATACCACTATTCTCAAGACAGTTTCAATACATTTGAATAGTGCAGTCAGCAGTCTGTTTCCAAATCTACTTATCATCTCTATTATAATCTAGCAAGCTTTCTAACAAAATCCTGTTCTAATGACATTATTCAATTCAATTCAACCTGATTCTGGATAACATAATAAATTGTGGGGTAGTGAAACCGAAGAGGCTGTCATATTGATCTACTGTGAGTTTCTGAATGAAAGGATTGGTGCAGCCAGCAGTCTGTTACCAGACAACACTAAGAAAATGAATATTATAAGAAGATTAGAATGACAAGCTGAGTATTATAGCTGGCAGAAAGGTGATTATCTATTTCTAATGTCCATAGTTCTACCACCTGTCACCTTGCTATATATAACACACTACAGGGTTGTTGATCTAACTGTATTTACCAGTAATATCTGACTAAACTGTTAGACTGTTTTAAATTAGGTTAGTAAATTGTAGCAATCATATCTAAAGTTAAGACTGTTGATTTGGTTGTATTTACCAGTCATGTCTGTTTAGAACTTTAGACTGTTGATTTAATTTTTCTATCTAGTACTGTCTGGCCACATTGGGTTGTTTCTGACAATCCATACCAGAGCTCTAAGCACGGATTTGACATTAAATGCCAGGCTAGCCTAATAGGACCACAATAGTCAAATATTGAAATCGATGGATAGAACAAGTTTAAGTAGATTTAAAAGTCATTTGTAAAGAATCTTCTCTTTATGTGTTCCAGCTGAAAAAGAGTCAATTAATGTGATGGAAACGAAAATTCACCTTTCATGATGACAAAACTTCAATTTAAATCTTTGAAAACAAAATTTTGGAAGAAAGACCGTGTCAATATGTCTTGTTAGTTGATATCACTGATTAAAATGTTGATAATGTGTCATCTGAATTGACCCTAATTGTTGTAATTATCTGACTGAGTGGCCATTGGTCAATAACCAGATAATACTAAATGCACTTTCATTCCTAGCTCTAATACAGAGACCGAGAGTACACAAATATCTCTTCCTTCTTAAAAAGAACTCATTGTAGAGAAATTGAAAACAAATATAGACAAAACTGATGTCCGAATTGACCCTGAACAAGCAGACTGAGTGGCCATTGGTCAATAACGAGACATCTGTACTAAATACACTTGCATTCCTGGATCTAATAAAGAGACAAAGTTCAAATTCACCCCTTCCTCTTGGAAATAATCAACCCGGAAAAGGCCGGAAAGGTTTCTTTATCAGCCCATTAGGTGCAGAACCGAAGGACTTATTTCCAATCATTTAACATTTTTTTCGCCTGAAAATGACACTTTTTCATAAAAATTGTAAACAAAACAAATATTTATTCAAAGCAAAATTGACAATGAATATCGAAATGTCAAGCAAAATGGTACTACTTTCTTAAGAGGTACAAGTCAAGTCTGGGCAAACTAGACAAAAAGACAAATGAATGGGGTGTTCAAAGAAAGACGCAAAATTGACTTCAAAATCTGACATTGCACTAGCCTAGTACTTAAATAATAATACAAAAAAATAATAACCATTCATTGCTCTATAGAGCCCATACTTATGCTAAGATCTAAAATTTAACATTTATTCATGACTCAATGAACTTTGGTTGCAATATGAATATTCTCTCCAGTCTGACATTTTGTTTCAATGATTCACTGTTATTTTTCTATCAACATTTAGTTATTTTACTGCCTACACTTCAGACATTTCTGGCACCATTCCCAAATATTTTAATAATTTCTAGTTAACAGTCAGTAATAACTTATTTTATAGTCCAATAATATCAGATGAAATTTTACAGGCCTTATATCACACGCACTGACTCAGTTTAGGCTTTAAGTTTACAAGGTAAACATTGGAAAGATTAGCTTTGGATTAGACTACATGGGTTTTCAATCAAGTGGAAATTTTGAAAGTTTTGTTGGGTATTGACTTTTTGTAGTATAGCATGAACAATTTTTGGACAATCATAGTCTAAGTTATTATATCCAGTCAGGCTTTATACTCGGACATGAAAGATTTAAAGGAAAACCAAACAGAAAAATATCATACAGTAAGGGTTGATAATGGGGAAAGGAAGTTATGTAGTTGACCAAGGATCCTGAA